CATTTAAACCTCACTGTACATAAAATAAATCATACAGGACAGAAATCCTCAAAATATGAAGAATGTTGTAGTACCTTTACCTGGTATTGATAACTTGCTACGCATAAAAGAATTCGCACTGGTGAGAAATCCCACAACTGTGAACAGTGTGGCACTTCCCTTAACTGGAACTCAAACCTTATTACATATAACAAAATTCATATTGGAGATCTTATAGATGTGAATAATGTGGCAAAGGTTTCTCCTGGTCTTCAGCCCTTATTAAGTATAAGAGAAACCATCCCAGAGAAATAATGTAACAATATGAAGATGTGGCAAAGCCTAATGCCAGTAGTCAAGTTTTCTGTACACAATAGAATTCATGTTGAAGGGAAACTGTACAAATGTGAAGAACTTCACACTACAAATGTTTAACTTGTGCTCAAACCATTGTATAAATGCAAACTTTATAACAGAGAAATCCCTGACAAGTATGATGAAGGTTTTGAATCCTATAACAACTACTCACACATTTCGGTACATAGCAGGATTCATAGAGAAATTGTATATATGTGAAGAATGTGACAACGTCTTTAAGTGTCTCTCATGCTTTTCTCATCAGAATTCATATGAAAGAAATACTCTATAACTGTCATTCATGTCTCAAAGCCTTATAGTTCTGTTTGTCCTAGTATGTAGGGCAGAGGAGAGACAGGGTCAGATGATACTAGGAGATCTTTTGTCCATCATAAGAGGAACAAAATGACCAGGGGGGCTTCCACGAAAGACAAGCTGGTATTTTAAGAAGGCTTCCAAAAAGTGAACTCATGTTTGTTCTACAAAAATGACTCTCAGGCTCGGCACCTGTGGTTCAAGCAGCTAAGGCGCCAGCCACATACACCTAAGGTGGCAGGTTCTAATCCAGCCCAGGCCCACCAAACAACAATGATTGCTGCAGCCAAAAAAAAAAGAAAAAAGCCAGGCATTGTGGTGGGCACTTGTAGTCCCAGCTACTTGGGAGGGAGAGGCAGGAGACTACTTGAACCCAGGAGTTGGAGGTTGCTGTGAGCTGTGATGCCACAGCACTCTACACAGGGGGACAGCTTGAGGCTCTGTCTAAAAAAAAAAAAAAAAAAATGACTGGCAGAGGTAGAGAGGCCACAATATGGAGATACGGCCAAGGCTACCAAAAGGGATGTTTGGATCATGGTTTCAAGTAATGTGACTGCTTAAGTGACCTATTTTCATTAACATAGTACAATTTGCACCAGTTCTATCACCCTTCACAAATACAATGATAACTTCTGGAAATTGCCTTACAGGGATAGAAAATGGGAAGACTCTCCTTTGTGGAAGTTTTCCCTCCTTCAAAGAAAAATCATGAATATTTACCCCCACGCCACTTAACATAGAATTGGAAAATGTATGTAAAGTGAAAGCCACCCCGGACTTTGTTTAAAGCTCCTACAGATTACTTGTATATTTGTTATAATATTCCATGTCAATCTGCCACTGTAGAGTTAAAGAAAACTAGCTCTATATTTTCTTCTGTCTGCCTGAAGCCGCATCTGCTTAGGTATTGGGATTGAGATCAAGATTATTAAACTTATCACTCCTCAAGGTCACCAGTTATTCTCTTGACACTGAAGTAAAGAGAAAAAAGAGCCAACTTTGTCCTTTAAAACACCAGCCTCGGCTCGGCGCCTGTACTACAGTGGTTAGGGCGCTGTTGTTCTGCAACAAACAATAGCCAGGTGTTGTAGTGGGTGCCTGTAGACCCAGCTACCTGGGAGGCTGAGGCAAGAGAATCACCTAAGCTTAAGAGTTTGAGATTGCTAAGAGCTGTATTAGCACGATACCCTACCAAGGGTGACAAAGTGAGACTCCGTCTCAAAAAACAATAATAAAAAAACAAAATAAAATAACAACATAGCCTTCCTTTCTCAGGCCTTTATTTAATTTGTTTTTTTGCGTTTGTGACAGAGTCACTCAGTTGCCCTTGGGTTGAGTGCCCTGGTGTCATA